AACCTAGACATGGGTATATACCCTATCCAGATTATTGCGGGGACTCGATGGGTTGTATGAAACCTATGGAAAAAGAGCTTAAGGCAAGGCAACGTCGAATGATTTTCTAGGAGATCATTCTAGACATGGTACGAATGGTGGGAGGACTGGAGTGATGTTGGTCTAGTGGTGGGACCAGCGCAAACATCACATGCGATTGTGAGGCGTAACGCGGTGGAATTGGCACCGTTTGTACCAATCCTTAATGACAACGCATGTATATGAATGTGCAACGTCGGAGTAGCAAACATATCGCACAGGGGGCAATGATTATGGGTGAGAGTCGCGCCTCACCTAGTGCATTGGGTCATGTCGGTCACATTAGTAGCGATCGGGGAACCTTCCTTGGGGATTTGCGGTTAATAAATAGACCCTAACTTGGAGGTATTACTTTAATAACTATAGTGATGCTGAGCGGTGAGTAATTATTAAAATAAAGCGGAGAAATAAATTCTTATATAATAATATTAAAGCGGTGGAAAGATAAACATAAATTAGTTACCGCAGGATTGAGGAGAGTAACTAATAAGAAATCTCTAAAAGAATAATAAAATAAGTTGAGCTAAAAATGTGTTTGGTTTGCGGTGTGATGTGATTATGTCTTGCTTGTGAGTGTTTGATTGTGTGGGGATGTTTTCTGTGAATCTGTCTATATTATATGTGTTCTCTTACCACTGTACTGTAATTGGCACACTTAGCTTATGCTACACTTGTTCTTTTGTTGCTTGTTTTTGTGTATCGGAATAGGTAGCTTGACATGATGCCTTGGTGAAGATGGGAACCAGTTGGTAGTGATGAGAATTAATACTTTAAGATCGATAGATTCAACAGATATCAAGAATACGATAATAATCAATGACAAGCAATAAACACAAAGATGAATCAAACGTGTGTCGAATGATTAATATGCTCCACCTCAGAAGATCTTAATGAGAATTGCTACTATAGAGGTGTGTTAGGGTTACAATACTTGTTAAACAAAATAGTGATCTAGAAGCGTAATAGATATAATGCATGCATGCACTATATATATATATATATATATATATATATATATATATATATATATATATATATATATATATATATATATATATATATATGTAAACCCTAAAATAAACACGGTTGGACAGGCCCAAACCGAGAGTACAAAATTGACCGAACTATCATGGCCCAATGGCGCAACACCTTGGACTCAACAATCTCCCCCTTTGCGCCAATTGAGGCGAGAGATCACTTCGGTTGAGTGATAGCAGATGACTTCACGGTCTTGAACAGCTTCGGTATGATGGCAAGCAAAGTTTGACGAAAGTGAATATACCACCGAAGCATGTCCGAAAATAACTTCTTGTCTGCATCACTATTCTGATCACACCGATATATGATTTCAAGAATATGCTCCAAGCATGCGGTGGAGAACAAATGTTTGTCAGCAAGAGCGAACAGACATTTTTGACCTTTGCCCCTTGTGAACAAAACAGTGTGAAATTGTGGATCAATTTTTCCTTTAATCATCACAGTCATGTCGCTTGCCTTCCCAATTAGCTTTATAATTGGTTTCTTCTTTTTGGCAGAGGCGACTTCCTGATCCATTTTCGCCACTTCAAGAATGTAGCACACCAGCATCCGCTTGATATGATCAATGATAGGCCCGTACTCTTGTTGATTGGTAAGCAAAATGTTGTTCAAGAGAATCCAGTCATGAGGATTTAGATTTGGCAACTCAGCAAAGGAAATCGTATAGACCGAACCATCTGACCCTCGAGTCACCTTGAACTTGATGTTGAGGAACTTCCCTGCCGGAGTCGGTTTCAACACCTTGAATGTTGTAATTTCTTATCGCTCCAAGTCAGATGTTGGGGTTGAGAGAAAGTAAAGTAGTATTCCAGCAAGTCTCGATCAACCTTCGGATCAGGTGAAGGAACAACAACCATAGAATCAAAACAATGAAATATGAATGCCTTTCGGGTGATTTGCATGTCCAACTGAGAATCCTTGGAGTTATCAAGACTGAACGAAAGGACTGGTTCGAGCCAATGTGTGCTTGGAGACTCGATTACTTCCTTCACAAGCTTTTCCATCGTCCATAAAGGGAACATGGATTTCCTTCTTTCCAAGGTTTCATTCATTTCTTTTTCAAGGTCTTCGTCCGCCTATTGAAGCGTCTCCTTAAGCTCTCTATCAGTTTCTTTGAATTTGGGATGTTCAACTTTAGAGGCTTTACCTTCGGTTTCACTCACATCCTCAATTTCTATCTCAACACTATCGTCAATCTTCTCTTTTCCTCTGTCCATCATACTGCCCGAAGCATCCTTACCCTTCGGTACAACAGTGACTTTCGCTTGTTGAGTGGGTTTGATTGGTTGTGGAGTGGGCTTGATTGTGGGAGGTGGTTGAGTCAGTCCTTTACCAACATTGTCTCCCCCTTGTTTCTAAAGGACAACGGGCTCCGGAACACCCTCAATCCTGCTTAAGATGTCTAAAGCAGGTCTCAATTTCTCAGCTAGATGACGCCTAAATGTGATGGTAAGAGAAGAGTCATGAGCCTCCAGAACATGCAGAAGTATAGAATGTACGTCACCAACACTGCTTTTAATGATAGCTCGTTCGGTCTTGGGATCAGCATTTTCCTTCTTAACGTGGGAGAGTTGCAGAGTTTGGGTTTCAAGTTGAGTGGTTTTAAGAGCGTGTTCATCCATGATTTTGTTCTCCATGGCAAGATCGTGTTGCAGTTTGTCAAGGCGAGTGGAGATGGAGGATAGAAGTGTAGCCTGATCATCCTTCAGAGAATCATGCACCATCTCAAACTTTTGCTGCTCACCTTCAAGAGACTCGGAAAGTGAATCAACAGCCGAATTGACCTTTGTAGCATTAGACTATGCAGCACCTTTAAGAGAGTCGAGGAATACTTTGGCATCCTCAATCACACTTGCCACCTTTACAGAAGCATTCTTACAGGACAAGGATGAGGCATGAACAGCTTTGGTTGCAGCCTGGATGGACTCATCATGCTTTTTGATGGAAGTTTCAATCAAAGCTTTGACAGCAACATCAAAATAAGCAGAGGATGAGGAGGTGGAAGATGAAGCGAGCAACCGGTTAAGTTTCGCGTTGAGATCTTTGAGGTGTCGCTTGGTGATGGGAGCATCATCATCATCATCGCTACGAACGTAATATGGGCTGTAATAAACAGAATCGAACTCCATATCGGCTCCGCCAAGAATAGGATCAGATTCGGTTGAGGGAGGTGGGGATAAAGGTTTTGAAGTAACTGGGATTTGAATACCTTCGGTAATTGCCCCCGTATTAGATACGTTGACAACAACCGGAGGTTCGGTTGTAGTAGTTGTGGTAGTTGCTTGTGTGAGGATTAGAGTTGGAAGAGAAACAGGAGTAGTAGTTGGTGGAGTTGAAATCGGTTGAGAAGAAACCGGTGGTGGAAGTGGTGCAATGGAAATAGGCACAGTTGTATGAGAAGGTGAAGGAGGAGGAGTTGGAACAGATCCAGTTATACGTACCTCAGGAGATGGGGACCGAGGAGGTGTATTTCCTCTCGATGGGCTTTCAAGATTAACAGGTTCGCCTTCATTGCACTTTTCTTGATCTTGATCCGAAGGGACATAATCAGAATCACTTGACGAGGCAGCCTTCGGTTTCTTGGCCATCTTTTTGATCTTTCTCTTTTTGTGAGCAGAAGATGGTTCTTTCTCTGCTTTGCGCTTTTTGGGCGTGGCCACTTGGGATGAGTGCCCTTCAATTTCCTTCTTCTGCTCTAGTTTCTTTCCCCTCTTGGTTGGTTTATCAACAGCATCCAACGCACTTTGCATGTCTGGGGTAAGTTGCATCGGTCCTGTTGGAGTCAACTTCCTGTAATCAGCCATGACTTTACTCTCGGCTGAAACACACCGGTACATCATTTCAGGAACAGAACCAATGAACGAGAACTGTGTAGGATCAGAAACTATGATTTTTGTGGTGTGGAAAGTGGCAATCGAAGACTTCAAAGCATCCGCCATGACACGAACCTGAAAGTGCTCCTTTGCTCTGTGAGTGTCAACGTCCAGAAGCGTGCACAAGAAATTTTAGATTGTTTGGATGAAGAATTGAGACTTTGCACCAGTTGCGTCCAAATCAAGGAGCCATAATATAAATTGATCCCATGGTAAAGACCATAGAGAATGGTCATAAATCCATTGCTAGCCCCATCAGACCCAGCAACCCGTTCTGCTAAGCCTTTGAATATAAGAGTAAAAAGACCATTCCACTGAGAAGGTAAACAAGACTTCTTGAACTTTGTCACGGTGGTAAGCACATCAGTGTAACCCATATCATAGAACATTGTAAACAGTTGGGTAGTGGTGATGAAATCGGGAGACACAACAGAAGCATCATTTGGTAGCCCCAACAAGGAACAAAATCGGGTTTTGGAAACTAAGGACTTATGATTGAAGATGTCAAAGTAGATTCGTTCCTTGCGTTTATCGTAAGAGGCAGTAGAGTAGACCTGCGATAACAGAGACATTGGAACGGATTCCACTTGGGTTAGGGCAATAACCAGTGGTGAATATTTGAGACATTCAACCACATGGAGCATGTATGGATCATAGAGAAAGGGATTCAGGTCAATGATAAGGTTTTGATTGGGTTTGATGGCTAACGGAAAGGAAGAGGCGGTTTGTTCGTGAACAAATGATGACTCAGCCATTGTTGCAGGTTTGAAGAAGAAGAAGATGAACAGTTGAAAATCGCCGGTTTATGCTTGAGCAAGATTGGAAATGGTAAAGAGGTACATTAGGTGTGAGAAATCCTTATATACTGTTCCCAGGAGAGAGAAAGAATCGAATCTGGTGGAATCATGTATTGAAGTCTGAGGTGAAGAGTCCCATGGAGGTATCAAAGGATACTCTTGACAGACTACGTGTGTGGGTCTTATAGACCATACGTATAAAGAAAAACTTTTGTCAAATAGTATGCATAGTCAGCAGAGACGATGGAAAATTCTGTTGTCCCCACTCCGACATAGGCTTCTTCAACCCTCCTATCATCAGATTTCTTAAATTAGGAGGCCACAACCCACAAGGGAAGGAGTAGTCCATACTTGGACAATCAAATACATGCAAATTAGTCAAAGATGGGAGACTTTGCAGATGCTCATGAGAAAATGACTTAAGATTCTTGCATGTAATGAACGTCAAAGATGTTAGGCAACAAAGGGGATCAAAACCAAAACCTTTGTCGGAGTGCCCCATTGAGAATGTCAAGGAAGTCAACGAATCACACTCACGGATTTCCAAACTTTCAACACTATTTGGACAACTAAAACTCTCCGGTGTGTTAGAATTATCAAACATTATTTGTTTAAGACATTCCATGCTAATCCCCAAATTAACCTCTTTGTCTCCTAATAATGATACCAAATTTTTACACTTACGTACCTCCAACTTGGGTGAACTCCCAACTACGAGTTTCAACACTGTTTTTGAACCTTCTTTCATGTGTAAAACCTGAAGTGATGGTATCAAGCCAATCGACATTTCAGCTAGTTTTAAGCAATCTTTTATAGAAACCTCACGAAGACAAGGAAACGATCTAGCAGCTGTTTCATCATCATCATGACGACTAGTTGTCCATCTCTCCCAACCTTGCATATCTTCAAATTCCAAAACTTCAAGCGATGGAAATGCAATGCCAAGGAAAGAATCATCAGGTGCAAGTAACTCAAAACCCACAGTCTTCACCTCATTCATCCCTTTAACAAACAACTTTTGAAGTGATGGTAGTTGTCCAAGTGTTGGTAAATGGTTACTTCTGCAACCACGTAAGGTAAGTTCTGTTAACGCATCAAATGTGGGATCAGTGATCCAACTAGGGAACATAGATCCCTTGTAGAAGACAATCCCCAGTTCTCTCAACTTGTAATGAGGCCTCAACTCTTCAAGTACTTGATATTCAATCATCTCATTCCGAGAATCATCAAATACATCACTCCACTCGATACGCAAATCATCAAGACCATTCTTTTGATGTAAGTTGGCATCCTTTGCTTGTTCTGGATCTATCACTTTTTCAAGACTAGTCAAGGAAAGTTCGCCTTCAAGGTCCGATAAGTCCTTAAGATCGGATATTTTGAACCCGTTTCCTCCTTCAATAATGACCTTGGTTAGAGTTTGCAAACTTGTCAATCCACCAATCCCTAAGGGCATATTCTTCAATTTTGGGGTATCACTTATGTTAAGATGTCGCAAGTTTATTAACGTTACAAAACTTTTTGGCAAGTCAGATAAGTGATGACAACCATGAAGTAATAAGCTTTGTAGGTTATAAAGATCGCTCACTTGTTCAGGCAAACATGTGATTGCAGTATGAGAAAAATTGAGGTACCTCAGATGCTTAAGACTGCCAATGGATTGTGGTACCTTTGTGAGTACATAATTAGATAAGCTTAACACCCTTAAGAATGATAGTTCAGAAAATAATTTATCGATTACTTTGTCTGATGGGTAACTTTCCTCTCCAACTGACAACAATAAGAATGTCCGCAAGCATCTAGCTCTTTGTAATTCGTTGAGCTTTCTATATGATCTCCCTCCAGAACCTATAAGTGAAAAGTGTCGAAACTTCTCAAAAGTTTCATTCATCCCGGATACATCCATGTTATCATCTAGTCTAAAGAAAAATTCTCCTGCAACACTTGTGGCCAAGTCATTTACAAGGTCATGCATTGCATAACCTAATTTGTCATTTGTTGAATGCTGAAAAAACGACATTGACTTTAGCTCTTCGAAACACTGATGACCTAAACTCTCCTTTGACTTGTTCCCTTTTGATCCAGACAAAAATCCTTCTGCCATCCATAGCAGGACTAACTCATTCTTTTCAAACACATAGTCCTTGGGAAATAATGAGCAGTATGCAAACAATAGCTTCAAATGTGAAGGGAGATGATAGTAGCTTAGTCTTAGAGCTGGAAGAATCTCACTTCCATCCTGTATATCCCATATCTCACTATTCAACAGCTTTCCCCATTCATCACCATTTCTACTTGTCTTCAAAACCCTCCCAAGTGATTTCAAAGCCAAAGGCAATCTACCACATTTTCTCACGATACCCTCACCATGTAATCTAAGGCTTGTATGTTTCTCAAAGTTTTTCTCACCAAGTGCATGTTGGGCAAATAAAGATAGAGCATCATCATTTGACAAAAGCCCAAGATCGTAACTTTCATCAGAATCCATCACCGATGCAACCCAGGTATTCCTTGTTGTGACCATAATTTTACTCCCATGTCCCCCTTGAAGAGGGCTCTGGAGGAGCTCCCACTTACTATGGTCTTCATTCCAGACATCGTCTAGAACAACAAGAAACCTTTTCTTATTTAGTTCTTTTTTGAGGGCCACGTGAAGGTCATTAAGAGTAGAAAAGCTTTTGTTCTCCCCAGCTACACCATCAAAAATAGCCTTGCAGATATTAAAGACATTGAACTCTTCTGAAACACAAACCCATGCCATGAGTTCAAAATGCTCTATCACTTTCTCCTCGTTGTACAAAACTTTGGCAAGAGTGGTTTTTCCGATCCCACCCATACCAACTATGGATATTATCCGTACATTTTCATTATTCTCCAACAATTTCCCCATCAATACCTCTTTATCGCCTTCCCTACCTATGATTTTGGACTCATCAACCAATGAAGTTTGCTCCAAACGTTTCTCGTTTGACCTTTCAAGATTTGAATTCACATTCAAACCCAGACCGATTTTCACCTCAACAAGATCAAGTAATCTGGTTGTAATCTCATCCAGCTTAGAGCTCATCTCACGACCATACATAATGTTGGGAGGACCGAAATTAGTATAACAATTTGCAAAGAACTTCAATACCTTATTAGTGTTGGTGCTATCACGAAATTCTTGATTCAACTTGCGTAACCCAACTTCGGTTGCCAAATCATCGAGTACATCGTCTATGTCATAGGCTAAATCTTGGAGATCATTCAGCCACAATTGAACAGCTCTCTCCTTTATCTGCTTATGGCCTGCATCAATAAGGACAGCTTGGATTATGGGCAGGGTTTTCTTCCATTTCTTCAGCTTAGAATCGATTCCTTCAGATTGAGCCAGCTTCATCAAGTCACCAGAGAGCAGTTTCTCACACAGCACCGTGATGACAGCACTAACAACGATTTCAGCCATTTAGATCTGGAAAAGGAAAAGGATAAATTGTTTCTCGATTTCAGAGGAAGGCAAGGATGGAAATTTGCAGATGAAGGAGCAAATCGGATAGACTGAATGCAGTGTGAATCTGAAATCTCATAGCCTTGACCCTTGTACAACTTTTCGCACTAATCACACTTTTCAAAATATTTGTAATCTCATCTCACGAACCATTAACCAGATTATATTATTGAGAAAAGTTGTATTAAGGGTTAATTATTTTATGTAAAAGTTCTTTTTTGTGCGCACACATGTCTTTTAATTATATAATAAGATTTTTAGAATTTATGTTTTGATGTCTGTTTCATCATTTAATTACTTCCAAATAAAATTTAATCCCATTACTGTTAATCGATGCTCTCCATGTGCTTAACCCATGTGTTTCTTTTGTATAATCCAAGTTCACCTGCAGTTTTTGTTTTTTTGTTTCACCTTTACTCGATTTCAATGAAATTTTAAATCTAAGTCGCATTGACCAATAAGTTTCGATGTACAGACTTGTTTTCAAATTTTTACATAAATAATTATTATAAAAACCATCAATATGACAACAGTTTTAAGGAATGTAACACGCTCGCAAACATAAAATAATATACATATAACGCAAATTCGGAAAAAAAAAGCCTTAGTTTTTTTTCAGATTTTCCTAGTTTCCAAAAAAATTTAAAACATTTTATTGAACTGAGATAAACTAGACTTGTTATTGAATAACTTCAATCAAAGTAAACATCCATTAATTTAAATAGGTAAACTAGGAAACTTAAATAAGGAAACAATATAGGATAATTATAAGTTGCGAATAAAGCAGCGTGTGGTTAATCATGCATCTCAATACTCCCGTTCAAGTTGTACTGTTAAGATAATGAACACCCCGTGTCCCCGTTATCGATGTAAAACAAACCTCTCAGATCTAAGCGCTTTACTGAACATCTTTGCAGGTTGATGATCGATTCGAAGAGCGTAACGTTTTATTCCTCAACTGTGAACTCGTTCAGAGATGAAGTAACAATTCATTTTCAGTTTATGTTGATTTTATGTGATAAACTACATTTGTTGCAATATGACAAGAAACTTTGTTATCACATATAAGTGATGTTTTCTTCACATGTTTTTCATCTAAATCCTAAAGTAACCACAACAACCATAAGACTTTACAAAGAGTGCTTGCCATTGCTCTTTATTTTGATTCTAGAGATAATCTTGACCTGCCACTTTGTTTCTTTGTTCTATGCGAGATCGGAGCACCATGATGAAGCATTGGAGAATGGCACCCGTAGCCACAAGTCGGTAATATATATCATAAAAGTAAAAACATTGTGTTCTCACATGTTTTAAATGCATCATCGTCTTACCATGATTAGGCTCACCTACTCTTACGCTATAAGGAAGGTTTAAGAAGGTCTCTTTGATTTCGAATGAGGTCGGATTTTAAAAGCAATTAGTGTTTGTTACCCTCACCGCCATCTTGCGTTTTGAGTGGAGTTACCGAAAGGTTTGGTGGGACGATGTGTCTCGTTAAAAAGTATTAACATAAAAGTGTAAAACAAAATCTCGTTTTATTAAGTAAAATGTGAATCTTATGCTACCCCATGAAAAATACACATTGCCGTATATTCAGTTGGCGTTGCGTGTGTGGTTTACCGGCATATCAATGTGAGAATACAGTTTTAATAGGATATGATAATCGCGATTCTCAAGCATTACTTGAGATGAATATCGTTGTATTTTTTCTTGGTTAATTCACCATTTGGATTCATGATCACCGGTTAATCCAATAATGAGTGCCAAACGAGCATAAAAGAGATTAACATCCTATTGACATCGGTCAATAAATCTCGTAAGATCTAAAAATTTCACCAATATTGAAATTGGTATAAGTATGCCTACCTAAATAACTTCACTGTGTAATTTTCGCTAATCCACTTTGCATTTGTAGCCAAATATGGATCCTAGCCTTTTATTAAATAATTTGTAACTAGGTAATTACTTTAGAAGGATATTTGATCAAACTAATAACCAACTTTGTTTACTCTTGTAGATGTCAGAAGGTAATGATGTACCTCTTCCTCCTCCTCCTTTAACCTCGTCATCAAATTTCTGACTACTTTAACTACTCTCGCGAGATAAGCTCAATTGTCCAAATTATCTGGAATGGATTCGTTATCTAAGGATAACCCTTAGATATGAAAGAGTGTCTGTCTAAGGAGCCTTTTTAAGATGCTACTTCTGAAGAGTTTGTCGATTACATAAGGCATCGTAATCATTCAATCAAAGTCGCATGTCTCATGTTGGCGGCCATGGTCTCGGAGCTCCAATAGAGCTTTGAAAACCTTTGGGCGTATGAAATGAATGAGTAGCTCAAGGAAATGTTCCAAGAGCAGGCTTGATATGAGTGATTCGAAGTTGTGAAGGCTCTTTATGGTTGTAAGGTTCAAGTTGGTGGTTCTATAAGTACCCATGTGTTGAAAACAAAAAGGGTATTTTGGTAGACTTGAGCGACTAGGGTTTCTATTCCCTCAAAAGTTGGTCATTGACCTAGTGCGTAACTCGTTGAGTAGTTCATATCATCAAGTTACTTTGAATTCCAATATGAACAACATGGAAAAGTCCTTAATGGAGCTACATTGCATATTAAAGACTGCCGACGAAAGCATACTTAAACCTCGTAGCTCCAGCTCAACCACTCCAGTTCTGTCTATTAGGGAAGGTGGTGTCAAAAGAAAGAAAACTTATTATCCCAAATGAAAGGTAAAGGGAGAAGTTGGAGGGTCTAACCAAAACCCTAACAAGTACAATTCTAACATAGAACCAGTTAATGATCCTAAGGAGGCCTTTTGCTTTCCTGCCAAGAGAATGGGCATCGGAAACATAGCTGCCCAAAGTACTTGGAGGACATCAAGAAGAACAAGCCCAAAGACATTGGCACCTCAGGTATGTATATGATTGAAATTAATCAAGCTTCAACTTCTAACTTTTAGATACTTAACACAAGATATGGTGTTCATATTTGTTATAATGTGCAGGGACTAAGTCGAAGTAGGAAGCTAACGTGAGACGAGCTTGAGTTGATCAAGGGAAAAAAGAGCAGAGTAGTAGTTACTACGATCGGGGATTACGATCTTTGTAACACCTTGTTTTTCGTTTAATTATTTAATAAGGGATTATGGTTATAAATAAAAATTAAATAAATAACATTAATAATAACAGTAAGGTTCAAATTATGACAGGATTCTCAGTCCATTCATGCAAGGTTCAAAGGATCATAACCTTTATCTTGGGTTGCATGACTTCTTAGCCCAACCCTGCGGATTTCGACAGGCTTCTCAACCCTATCTCACAAGGTCAAAGGATCATAACCTTTACCTTGGGTTGCTTGTCTTCTTAGCCCAACCCAACAGATTACAGGAGGCTTCTCAACCCCGATTCACAAAGGTTCAATTGCTCAAAACCTTTATCTTGAGTTGCTTGACTTCTCAGTCAACTTCGTTATAGTGCATGCTTAGCCGACAAGTCTCAAAGTCTCACAACGTTCTCCTCAGTCCCAATTCGTTCCACGTGATGCTCTCCCGCATAATTTCTTTATGATCGCTGCTGCTAAGCCTGATCCATTCCACGCGATGCTCACCCGCATGAAATCTTCATGGTCGATGGCGACTAAGCCCAATCAGTTCCACGTGATGCTCTCCTACGTGACGACTTCACAATTTATGGTTGCTCAGCCCAATCCTAAGACGTATGATATAAGCCACGTATTTTCATGCACCGTAAGTCGCACATCGTAAACCAAAGTCGTGCTTGGCACCACATATTTACTGCTCTTTTCCATGGTTGCAAAAATCGGTCTAATTGGCCGATTAATCGGCGCCTAAACGCTTGGCGGCCTCCAACCGCCTACGAATAAGGATTAGAGGGTTAGGCTTATCGGCCTTGGTCAATATCAATCAAAATCGGTCCAAATAGGACTAAATCGGGCCAACTCGGACTCAAATCGGACCAAATAGCACCTGCTGGCTTAAAGGAGCAAGCTAGCCCAAAGCGTATCTGGGTTCTATTTTCAAAGGAGCTGGCTCCCTTTTTATAGAATATGTTTTCTGTCGTCTATTATCCCACCAGTGATGTGGGAAACTTTAACCCTATGCACCCTCAAAATTGCTTCCACTTCCAACGATTTCATACTCCATTTTCATCGACACAGGTCTTCTATCTGTTTCATTTTTCATCTTCAATCTGTTTCAAAACATTCTTCTATCTGTGTCATTTTTCATCTTCTCCAAGCTGTGGACTCGCCGATTGCTTTCTTCCCCCATCCAAGAAATTCATGTTCTGTTCGGTGGTTTAGATAAAGATAGTTAAATGGCGTTTGTGATACTTTTGGATTGCAGGTCTGTGATAGGTTTGTGTCTTCATCTTTTTCTGGTTCGAGGTTTGGATTGCATATTACTTAACGGAGAGAACTAACAAGTGAGAAATTATCTCAAACTATATCGATGTTCATGTGTTTACACATCTGCCAATCCTCAGGGAACGACTTAGCCTAGTTTGTGGCAGCTATGTTTGATCATTGGGAATCACGATTTCAGTGATATGGTTGATATGGTTGTTTGATAACTAGCATGCCAAGTGTTTGTGTAAATGCTTAAAAGAAATTTAAGTGATTTTGGTCATACAATGCTTTGATGGTCCAACAATATTCACACGAGCAGAAAGTAAAACCATTCGAAAGTGATGATTCTTAGTTTAGGTAAGCAACGATTTCAAGGTCACAATAAGATTATCCTAAATTTGTTTTTGTTTGTTTGAAGTTGTAGTTTTAATTTTCTATTATCATATTTGTTTTGGTTGTTTGGAATAAGAACAATCAACGGTTTGTTCTTTCCAATTCTTATATTTGGGCAGACATTTAAATCTTTAATGTGGGCTTGTCTGTCTTGTATGGATTTTTTGTATGGTTTCTTAGTATGTGAAAAGCGGTTTTGTGG